CCCCCGCGCTTATTCGGCGCGGGTCTGGGCCGCAACACATGGCGGCGGGCACCTTGTCGCAGGGGTTGCAGGGCTGCGACCCCGCGACCGCGGTATGCACACACACTTAAAGGACCACTACAGACGCTCTGATCACATCAGCTCAATGAAGTGGTCTGGGTGCCAGGTCCCTCTAGTTTTAACCCTGCAGCTGAAAACATAGCCGTTTCAGAGAAACGGCTATGTTTCACTGAGGGTTAATCCAGCCTCTGGTGGCTGTCTCATTGACAGCTGCTAGAGGAGCTTCCGCGATTCTCACTGTGAAAATCACAGTGAGAAGACACTGTACGTCCATAGGAAAGCATTGAGTAATGCTTTCCTATGGGCGGTTTAAATGCGCGTGCGCCTCTTGCCGCGCATGTGCATTCGGAGCTGAGAGGCGGATGGATCCCCAGCGCCAAGGGAGTCCGACGCTGGAGAAAGGTAAATGCTCTCACGAACAGACGCATACACACTAGCTAACAGACACACACATTTACTGACAGAGACACACTCAGCGACAGACATACATACACACTCACTTACAAAACATACACTTTCACTGACAAACACACACTCACTAACAGACATCAAACACACTCAGTAACAGACACACACAGTAACTCTCACTAGCAGACACACACCCAATAACAGACACACTCACTGACACACACACTAACACAAACAAACACTAAAACACACACTAACACACACACACACTAACATACACACAAACACACACACTAACATACACACACACACTAACATACACATACACTATCACTCACATACATACACTAACACACACACACACTAACATACACATACATACACTAACACACACACATACATACACTAACACACACATACACTAACACACACTAACATACACTAACACACACATACACTAACACACACATACATACACACATACACTAACACACACACATACATACATACACTAACACACACTAACACACACACACATACACTAACACACACACATACATACATACACTAACACACACTAACACACACATACATACACTAACACACACATACATACACTAACACACACTAACATACACTAACACACACTAACACACATACATACACTAACACACATACATACACTAACACACACTAACATACACTAACACACACATACATACACTAACACACACTAACATACACACATACACTAACACACATACATACACTAACACACACACATACACTAACACACACTAACACACATACACTAACACACACTAACACACATACACTAACACACACTAACACACACTAGCACACACTAACATACACTAACACACACTAACACACACATACATACACATACATACACTAACAAATTTTTTTTTTAAATTTAATCCCCCCAGCCTTCTTACCTTTTGGAGTGCTAGGGGGATTCCCTGGGGTCCAGTGGTGGTGCTGCTGGGCTCCTGGGCGGGCGGGCTGTCTCGGTGGCCGGCGCGCGAGGGAGCACTCACTGCTTCCTCTTCAGCTCCCTCGGGCGCCGCATAGGGATGCCGGCGCCGGAAGATGACGTCATCTTCCGGCTCCGGCATCAGTGCGGTGCGCGAGGGAGCTGAAGAGGAAGCAGTGAGTGCTCCCTCGCGCGCCGGCCACCGAGACAGCCCGCCCGCCCGCCGGAGTCAGCAGGGCCAGCCTCGGAGGGCCCTGGGGTGGCCGCCTCCTGGGCCCCCCAGGAGAAGAGGCTGGCCCTGTGGCTACATACCGGGTCGCAGGGGCGGCCGGGCCCCCTGGTGGGCCGGGCCCGGTCACAGCCGCGACCCCTGCGACCCTGGTATGTACACCACTGGATATATAGATAGATAGATAGATAGATGATAGATAATGGATAGAAGGATGGATGGGTGAATGGATAGAAGGATGGATTGATGCCATAGAAAGCAGTGTGTGAGATCCAGTAAGCTCTCCACATTATTGTCATTCACACTGTTTAGTGACAGAGCTCAGTTTCCAAACAGATGGGAGTCATATAAATTAGGGACATACTTCTCCCAGCAACTGTAGGTTATAATCCATGGTGTGTGGTCAGTGCAGCATTTACATTGCAGACAACTCATTGAAAGTGGCAGCAAATTATTAAAAAAAAGTTACTCATTAAGAGATGTACATTAAGTGGTAATTAACCCAATGTTATTTGTTTTACAACCAACCTTAACTGCATCAAACAAAAAGTAAAATAAATGGCAGTAATAATAATAATAATATTCTGGAGGCTTTAATGCCACCAAGTTCCTTACAATTATCCACACGCAGAGTATTTGACCATTTTATCTATGTATCATCCACTACATATGGCAATATATGTTTTAATGAAAGTAGCCTGGTAACTGTGGGGTTAAATGCTAAGTGGGGCCAGTTATCTCATTCATTGCCATGGTGGCATTAACCCCTTAAGGCCCAAGCTTCTGGAATAAAAGGGAATCATGACATGTCACACATGTCATGTGTCCTTAATTGGTTAAATAGCATGCACTTCTAACTAAAAGGATGAAGTTAACTCTCTAAAGATTTTTTTTTTATCGAGGTGCTTTTTGACATTGATTATATAACTATTTAATTTTCTTCTTAAAGGGCTCCCTACCCTGGAAGTTGTGACAGCGGAAGAGCTTACACTTCAGTAACAGCCAATGAAAACAGAAAATTAAAAATGATTTGCTGAACATCCCAGGGACATTATGTAGTCTTAGGAGAATGCTTCCCATCTGGTTTGACTTATACTGAGCCCTTAATACTCTAAATGCATGGCGTTCTGGTAGCTAATTGTATGAAGGGAAGAGAGAGTTTAAAGTTCTCAATCTAACTCCATGAATTAGAAGCTCTGCTTGCACGCTCTGACCGTGGAAAAAAACATGCAAAGATTATTGTCCCGATATAAACTGATGCTCTCGCTGCTGTGGACTACAACTCCCAATCCCAGTATGGTAAGGCAGCCTTTGTTAGCAGTACACATTCAGAACACCTGGAGTGGGGAAAGTGGGGCTACCTTTCTATTCCTCAAAATCTGGGCCCCAAGAGAAGAGCACAGGTGGGGCTACACGGTTATTTACCTAAAAATGACCCACAGAGCTTGCAATCGAATGTGGGAAATTCTCTACAAGTCATCCAGTGCTGGAAGCAAATCTCTTCTCTCAGACATTAGTGCCTATTTAAACTCCTTCCCACCAGATGATTGATTTCTGCACCTATTCTTTTAATAAGATGACATATAATATGGACTCAATAGGGACTGTTTTCTACATTCTCCAGATCCACCGTATGTATTGGAGCAATTTGTTGGGCAGAGAATGAAAAGAGCTGCATTATGAAGTATGCAGCGTTCATGTGCTGCAAAGGGGAATTAACATCATTAATCAAGTCACTTAGTTAAGAGTTTTTCCTTTATTAATTAATTTGGTCCTTGCACTATGGGACTTCTACTTATGGATAGGCAGAACTTTTCATGTACTGACCAAGAGCATGGATGAGTGCTATGTTTCCCATAAAGCAGGGTGGGTCTGGTAACATTGTCTCGTCGCTGTGTAGTTTGAATGGCCTGCGATACACTGCACTGGCAGGAGGTGTCTTTAACCCTTTCAGAGCCAGAGAGCTAAGCATCTGGTGAGTGAAGGGTTAACGATGTCAGGCTAGAAGTCGTATTCCTTATGTACATGGGAATGGCGATCTAAAGACAAAAACAAGAATTGTTTTCCTATGTGGCTTTGGTATGATGGGATTTATTATGTTAAATCCTGGAGTTTTACTGGGGTCCCTTAAAGTTTAAAAATCAGCTTGACTTGGGTGGTTTCTCTTCAAATCGTGCAGATCTGTTTAAAGGTAGCTATTAATCCGAATTATAATGTGACCCTTAGAATCATTGTAATGTTTTACTTGAAGCCAGTTTATTTGTGGTCATTTTAAATTGGAAACAGGTGCTCGTGATTAGCAGATTTTAGAGATTTATTATAAATTCAGTGTATTTGCTGGCTAAGATGTTTCTCTTCTTACACAATGTAAAGGAAACAACACCTTTAGGGAAAACAGACATTTCCAATAAATATTTATATTATTCTTCATGTTCATCTGGGATATTTGATATCTGTCTGTCTGTCTGTCTATCTGTCTATCTGCCTGTCTATCTATCTATCTATCTATCTATCTATCTATCTATCTATCTATCTATCTATCTATCTATCTATCTATCTATCTATCTATCTATCTATCTATCAATCTATCTATCTATCTATCTATCTATCTATCTATCTATCTATCAATCTATCTACCTGTCTATCTATCTATCAATCTATCTATCTATCTATCTATCTATCTATCTATCTATCTTTCTATCTATCATCTGTCTGTCTGTCTATCTATCTTCTATCTATCTGCCTGTCTGTCTATCTATCTACCTGTCTATCTATCTATCTATCTATCTATCTATCTATCTATCTATCTATCTATCTATCAATCTATCTATCTATCTATCAATCTATCTATCTATCTATCTATCTATCTATCTATCTATCTGTCTATCTATCTATCTATTTATCTATGTGGTCAATATCTCTAGACAAAGACAAATTAATATTGTCTTTAAGTGCCAAAATAATGCAGTCTGTAAAGCCCTGGCACTCAAACAGTTAACCTCCATTATCAATTTGCATGCACCATTGATGGTTAATATTAGTAAATGCCTTTGGACCCAGTCAGTAAACTTTCCATAGCAGACTGTCACCCAAAAAGAGACCTCTGAGTACACCCCTCTCACCCCCAGCTGGCAGTCCTGGCCAATAGCAGCTTTCTTGATAGATACATTGTTATTCATTAGATCCCTGGCCAATCACAACAGAAATTCCATTGTAAAAAAAAAAAAAAAGCTCTTGTGGAGAGATTGGAGAAAGGGGAGATGACTGAGTTATAGAGAGTTCTCACCTAAGGCAACAGGACCTGTCATCTTCTCCAGCTCTTGGCAAGCAGCAGTCCAGCAGTCCATCTCAGACATCTTTGGGTCTCCAAACTCTGCTTGTCTCTTTCATGATCCAATCCAGAAATGATTGCAGAGAAGAACATCAAACTCACACTTTTCATTCTTCTCTGAACTACTTATTTTATCTCAAGAGAGGCCAAAAAAAGTCCAAATTAAATCAACGGATCCTCCAGGAATATGGAGATGGGGACCTCTTTTGGATTGTACCATCTATGTGTCCTCTTGACTGTATTGGTGGCTTTTTGCCCTTGTTCCCAGGGAAATTGGATGTAGGTATCAATTATTAACATTTTCTTCTTTCTAACAGTTGCTAATGTTCTAAGCTCTTCATACAGTTTAATGTCGCAGCAATAACTTGGAAGCAACATTGAGTCTCATTGTCAGGAGTTCTAACAGTGCATTACAATGATTAAATATCACTGTCAGATACAAAGTCAGACAACCTTTAGTAGCATCCACATGTTCTAAAGCTCAGTGTGATGCATGGACTGAGGCTGATATATGCTTTATCGAGACATCATACTGCAAATCTAATTTTATTGTTTGTAGAAATACTTGATTCATAGAACTGAGCTCCTCCCAATATTACAGAATTGTTTTAGAACTCACAAAGAAAAAAAAACATACATCCCTTATCCATTTGTTTATTCTTAAAACCTTATGCATCAGACTAAATTAATGTGTCATCTAGTGATTTTCCCAAACATCATTCTCTCCTTTCTGTTGTACATCTGGAGACTACAAACAAAACCAAAAAAAAAAATGAAGAAAAAAAAATGACAGGTCTCAAATGTGTTTACTTGCAGCTCTAAAATATGCTAAACATATTTAATTTAACATTCATTGTAATTCAGGTCGTCTTTGTCAAAATATTCAAGGCTGACCTCCTTTTGTTGCTTTAAGAAACTCACAAATTTGGCAAGATCCTTAAGAGACACACTTTACTGTAAAGATTAAAACATTCTGTTTAAAATCTGTTTCATTACCCTTGAGATTTGCAGGGGAAAAAAAATCATTTCTGTATCAACTTTTGCACTAGATTAAGTAAAAAAAAAAAAAATACTTTTACTTATAAAGGTCTGTTGAAACAGTTACATGTTTCTTGGAGATAGTTTAAAATAACAATAAACAAATGTTTTCATTTCGTGTTTTATGGATATAATACATTTTGTTTTCATTTTACTTAAAATATTTATTTTGAAAACATATTTGTTTTGCATATTTTCTTAATCTGGGAATCCTCTTAAACAAAAGCTAAAATATTTATAATATTTTCTGGTTTCGGTGTCAGGTTTAGATTATATATTGTGACTTATACCCTTTTAAAATGTATTTCTGACTTCATCTTTAATTAGAAATAATATTATTTGTAACACGACAAAGTTTACCGTTTTTAAATGATTGATCATTTTAATGAAAATTTTCAGTTTTGTACCAAACACCCTTTTGGGATGTATTCACTTGAAATATCAAAATATTACAATATTTCCAGGATATATTTTCTTCCACCTTTCTTTTTGTTTAATTCTTTTTTTTTTTTTCGTCTAAAAAATATCTAGAGTTTAAAAGAAAAATGCATATCTATCTGTTCTATAACTCTGGCTCATTTTATTTAGGGTTGAGGTATTTGTATCTTTTTGTGAACAAGTCTGGGGGTCATTCTCACTGCTCTTAAATTGTCCACATGTTATCACCAAGGTATGAAGAATTCAGGGATTTGTTTGCTAATTGGTGCCACAGGTAATGAAACGTCCAACATGCAGACAATGACACGACAAAGTATTTAAAAGAATTCAGCAGTACATAGGACACTGAATGTCTGCTGTATATTTTCATCTGCCATACCAGTGATGTTTAATCTTGGCACAACAGATGTAGGACAACTATAGTTCCTATAATGCTCAACCAATCTAAAGGCGGGCACAGAATCATAAAAAATGTTACCAAATATTTAGAATTCCAACATTAGCCACCACGTCTGCTTATTGCAGTGATTAATACAATAATATTAACTTGAAGACGTGCTATGTTTTGAGAGGCCCCGTCAACAATCTGTCTTACCCTCTGTGCTAGCTAAATATAGTCCATATTAGATGTTTGGGATTGCGCATGGTTTATGATCGTCTGTTTGTATTCATAATGATGTGATGCCTCTGTTCATGTATATATAATATTGTTAATGTCTTATATTCGAGATTTCTCACCATGTGCTTTATTCTTCAAAGGGCACATTTTTTGTTTTGTTTTTGCTAAATCAGAAATTGTCAACAGTGCAAAAATGTTAAATTAAATTTGAATTCACTTTGAATTCTCACTTTATTAACCCTTGTTACCAGTGTTCTTTTACGTTCTAAGCAATTTTCAGACTATTGAATATACCTCCTTGGTTAGAGTGAAGTTACCAGGCATCGCATTAACTATATACATGAAGAGTATCGCCAGAGAGATTGTGGTGGAGATATTTCCCAACCATTTTCTTATGTGCTCATCTCTCATTCAGAGCTACATATTTTGAAACATTGAGTTGCAACGAACATACTGCAGGCTTGCAAAATTTAAACTAAGACAGAAAAACATGCAGCTCCAAAATGAGTGTGTGTGTGTGTGTGTGTGTATAAAATTATATTTTATGAAATTATTTATTTTTTATGTCCCTATATTTTTTTCCTCTATTGTGTCCTGAATGGCAATATGTGGTTGTCAACCTACCCTAACTCACTGTGTAATTAACCCTTCGTATTGGGGTCTGAGTCCTTTCGTGTTTACATGATTGTGCAATGATTTAGACATGACTTCAACAATTTGTAATATTATAGTTATTTTGTGTCCACGTTCAATGCTTTGACCGTGTCAGTCTATAAATTGAGGTACCTGTTGCTTCTCTACAGATCAGTGTGTAAAGCTAAAACGTACAATATATCTGATAGAATCATTAGAATGATGATTTTTCTAAAATATCCCCTCTTTATTAGATCTACCTTAGGTCAAGGGAATAGTGGGAAGTATAGGTTAAGGGTAAATTATGGGGTATTAGGGTTAAGACTAGGATGAGCAGAGATAGTGTTGGGCTAGGATATTTAGAGTTAGGGCTAGGATGTTAAAGGTCACTGTTAAGACTAGAATGAGCAGAGATTGTGTTGGGCTAGGATATTTAGAGTTAGGGCTAGGATGTTAAAGGTCACTGTTAAGACTAGAATGAGCAGATACAGTGTTGGGCTAGGATATTTAGAGTTAGGGCTAGGATGTTAAAGGTCACTGTTAAGACTAGAATGAGCAGATACAGTGTTGGGCTAGGATATTTAGAGTTAGGGCTAGGATGTTAAAGGTCACTGTTAAGACTAGAATGGGCAGAGATTGTGTTGGGCTAGGATATTTAGAGTTAGGGCTAGGATGTTAAAGGTCACTGTTAAGACTAGAATGAGCAGATACAGTGTTGGGCTAGGATATTTAGAGTTAGGGCTAGGATGTTAAAGGTCACTGTTAAGACTAGAATGGGCAGAGATTGTGTTGGGCTAGGATATTTAGAGTTAGGGCTAGGATGTTAAAGGTCACTGTTAAGACTAGGATGAACAGAGACAGTATTGGGCTAGGATATTTAGAGTTAGGGGTAGGATGTTAAAGGTCACTGTTAAGACTAGAATGAGCAGAGATTGTGTTGGGCTAGGATATTTAGAGTTAGGGCTAGGATGTTAAAGGTCACTGTTATGACTAGAATGAGCAGAGATTGTGTTGGGCTAGGATATTTAGAGTTAGGGCTAGGATGTTAACGGTCACTGTTAAGACTAGGATGAACAGAGACAGTGTTGGGCTAGGATATTTAAAGTTAGGGCTAGGATGTTAAAGGTCACTGTTAAGACTAGGATGAACAGAGACAGTGTTGGGCTAGGATATTTAGAGTTAGGGCTAGGATGTTAAAGGTCACTGTTAAGACTAGAATGAGCAGAGATTGTGTTGGGCTAGGATGTTAAAGGTCACTGTTAACACTAGGATGTCAAAGGTCATGTCTAGGGGGTTTGGGTTAAGGGTTATGGAAAGATCTAATATTTTGCAATGTAAGTATTAAAAAAATGTCAGGTGACGTACAATAACCAAGTTATTGCTATAGAATAGTGTATTAAAATACATTTGAATGTTATTTAAATAATAAAAAAGCAAACGTTATCTCTATGTGAGACAAATTACAATTAAGGCAAAATACATCCAGATTAATCTGCAGCCCATGGAGTGCCGACGTGGCAGGTCTGTAAAATGCAAGGTAAATGTTGGGGCTGCATTTTTAGTCAAGGAATTGTGGCTAAATGAGAATAAATTTACATTTTCAGGCCAAATAGCCTAGATGAAAAGATTATTTTTCAGTTATCGTACAATGTAGAATTCCGTTGTAAATTTCTCACAATTCTCTGTTTAATAAATAAAGCCCAGTAAGATTATGAATTGTCAGGAATTAGCAGGGAAGCTTCAGACTCCAGGCTGAAACAGATAAGATGAAAAAAAAGGCGAGTCGAAGAATTTTTCAAAACTTGCTATTTTTTCCCTATAATTTCAAAAATACAGTTCAATACCTGTCAATTCATGGTCTAGTGCAGGGGTAGGCAACCTATGGCACTAGTGCCATGCACGGCACTTGAGGTGCTTTTGCACGGCACTCAAGGCTGCTAGAGTCAAATAGGCTCTGGCCTATAAGGAGTCCCAGTGAAACTTAAGATATCTGCTAATACGAAAAGGTGGTGAAGGACAATCCTCAATTTATGCATTGCAGCACATAGAGGAAGTGATCTCAGATCACTTCCTCCCAGCACTTGTGAATGGGAATCCACACTGTAGTAGAGCAGCCTCGGCAGCTTTTGCAGCTCCTGCCCTTGACATGGTACCCACTGCCACCGATATTGCTAGATATACACAGAGCTGCATAATAAACAACTCCTCATACAAATAAAAGCAGCCAACCCGCACAAACTCAACAACACTGACAATCCATATGCATGCACACAACCCCACATGCAGTCTCTCACATGCAATACCCCAAACATACACACACTACCAAACAAAATGTGATATATCCATCCACACACACAATTCCACAAGCAGCCCCCATACACAGCCGACATTCATATGTATCATACACAATACCACAAACTACTCATGAACATATACAATAGCTCACATACGCACAAATACAATGATACAAAGCAACCACAGTATAAATAGCACAAGCAGAGTACGTCAATATACAAACCTCAATTTAAAAAAAAATATAG